AAAAAAAAAAAAAAAAGTCTTCTTTCCCATATATCGCCTTAGAAACTGATGTCAACAGGTCTTTTCAGTCTTAGAGAGTCAGAAAGACACACTTTTCTCAAGCCAGTCAACATATATGTCACCACGGTAGTTAGCATCACAGAAAGCTGGGAACAACCATTCTTGTGCTGCAAACCTGTAATTTTTATGTGTGCCAACCTCTACCACATGAAAACCACCACATCTTCTCTCTTTCTATTAGTAGAGAGGCCTTGTTTTTCCAGCTAAACAAATAAGGTGTTTAAAATGATATCTCACAGGGCTCAGTCTTCAAATGGTCTAAGGGTTAGAATTAAATTTACCTCAGAGGGAACATACTGCTCCACAGCTGTAGCAACAGTGGCACAACAAATCCAAAGCAATACCATCACCGAGAGGACAAGAGTTGTAGTTAAAATCCACCCAGAGTTACTGGAAAAAAAATCAACAATTAGTTATATTAAAATTTCATAAGAAACAGGAGATTCTTAGTCAATCAACCTTATGTACTTAGCTCAACAGTACAATTAAAACTTTGTTGATTATCTTTGAAACTATTAAAAAACATACTTACAGAAGGAAATATTATACTAATAGCTATTACATTAGGTTGGCATAAAGTCTTTTTCCTCTACTTCTAATGTTTCTGTAACATGGCTATATCACTTTTGTAATAATAATAAAATCAAATATACTTGACTTTCTGCTAAATATATAAGGCAAGTGAAAGTGTCCTGTAAATTGTACACTGTCGTACAAATGTCATATATTATTTTACAAATTATTATACTTGCTTTCAGAAAACCAATATACCATGAAGTTAAGGTATAGACTAGGTAAATTTAAAATGATCATTTGTTTTATAAAAGAAATCACAACAGGCTTCCAGAAGTCAGTTTCCCTAGAATACTTCACATATTTAATTTGCCATAATTTACTTATACTTCAATTTAAAAGAGCACATCTATTGTAAGGCATTCTGTAACCATTATAGCATATCTCAGTAAAGAGATAGTTATATTTTCCTTATCATTAAAATATCTTAAGATAGAAGGCCAGTTATGAGAATCAGCAATTAGAGGTTTTTTATTTATTTTTATTTATTTTTAATTTTTATAGAGACAAGCTCTCACTGTATTGCCCAGGCTGGCCTTGCACTCATGGGCACAAGCCATTCTCCCACCTGAAGTTTTTTTCATAATTGACCTATTAAGATTCAAAAAAAAGTCAAGCCATTTTTAAATAATTAAAAGTCTAACTCTGACAAACTGTGTAACACAGATAGTCCCTAATTTTCACATCTCTGCTCATCCAACACTGCCTAATAAGAGATCTATACTTACCACCCTAACCACTCACTTGACAGTCTGGCAAGACTTGAACATGCAGTAAGCACAGTCATTGTCTGCCAGCAAAAGAGGCGGACTTTGGAGAATGTATTGTATCTAAAAGTAGGGAACTCCCATATGATGCTTTAAGTATCCCAATTTAGAAAGATAATAGAGTAAAACACGTTTTTAATGAAAAAAATACCCACTTTCCTCTCCATGTTCCAGCCCTAACTGAGTTAAGGAATTTACCGCAAAATGAGGATATATTTGATATCTGGATTCCAGTAGCAACTACCTAAGCCAGAAAATTGGGGTTCATCCCTTCACTCTCCAGAACAAAACAATGACTAGATCCTACAGATTTTCAACTATCTCCATTATCTCCTGTTCTTGTCTACTGCCCTAATTCAGGCTTCATAATTTCTTCCCTGATTTACCAAAGTTCTCCAACCTATCCTTCACATAGAAGCCTCTTCTTGACACTAATGTTATGTTCCTGCTTCTCTCTATTCCTGTTTTCCCAGTTCAGTCAAATTTCTGACTCTCCTTATCCTCCATATGCAGTAATGTACCCTATACACATTGAGCAGGAGGCCAGTGTATCTGAAAAAAAAAATTTAAGTAAATCTTCTGCTACAACTAGCAAAAATGTCTACTCATTACTCAAGATATTTCTATCTGGCCTGTCAATCCTCCCCTTGAAACCTCCAGTAGACTTAAATACAGTCTTTATATGCTGTGTATGAGACATGTGTAGGAGTGTGTATGTGTATAGCAATCACTATTGTCCATGTCTGTCTAGACCTGAGAACTCCTGACATCTTTTCTAGGTCTCAACTCCCTAGCACAGTGCCTGGCTCTTCAAAAAGAAATACAAGTGAAGAAAGAGTGACTTCAATTTCCTTTCTGGAGATAATGGTGTCTCTTTAACAGCTACGATCAGATTCCAATAACTGGCTGAGTGATTCTGTATGTAATCATGGAAAAATCATGACACTTTAGGAAGTAAATATTTACAGCAGAATAGGATGAGCAGAAGATGTATAATTAGAAAAATTAGGTTTGAATTCTAACATAGTGACTGTATAACCTTGGGAGTAGTCAATTCACCTCTCTAAATTACCACCTACTTATCACAGGGTATTGTTCTAAAAGTCAAATGGGATCACTGAAGGGGAAAAAGCATTTTAAAAAAGAACACTTAAAAAAAATTTTTGAGACAGTCTCGCTCTATCACTCAGGCAGTGCAGTGGCACGATCATAGCTCACTGCAGCCTTGACTTCCCGGGCTCAAGTGATTCTCCCACCTCAGCCTCTTGATAGCTGGGACTACAGGCGTGTGCCACCATGCCCAGCTAATTTTTTTTATTTTTTGTAGAGATGGATGGGGTCTCACTATGTTACCCAAACTGATTTTGAACCTCTGGGCTCAAGTGATCCTCCCGCCTTGGCCTTCCAAAGTGCTGGGATTACACGCATGAGCCACCGCACTAGGCCAAAATCATAATTTTTATTCAAATATAGGATCCTATTATAATCTACATTTGGGCACAAAAACTTCTTTTTTTTTTTTTTTTTTGAGACAGAGTCTCATTCTGTTGCCCAGGCTGGACTGCAGTGGCGCAATCTCGGTTCACTGCAACCTCCGCCCTCCGAGTTCAAGCGATTCTCCTCCTGCCTTGGCCTCCCGAGTAGCTGGGATTACAGGCGCCTGCCACCGCACCTGGCTAATTTTTTTTTGTATTTTTAGTAGAGACGGGGTTTCACCATCTTGGGCAGGCTGCTCTTGAACTCCTGACCTCGTGATCAAAGTGCTGGGATTACAGGCGTGAGCCACCGCGCCTGGCCAAAAACTTCTAAGAAATACATTTCTAGTTATAAAGTTAGTTGTTTCACAAAATCACTTTTAAAGTGTTAGATTTTAAAAAAACACACACAGCATATAATGACAAAATGTTAAAGGTCAATAAATCACCAATAATATGCCAGGTAGTACAGTACTGAGAACTGTAATTTAAGATTAATTATTTAGGTTTCACAGAACTATCAAACTGCAACAAACATCCTAAATACTGGAAAGAGAAAAACTGCCCTTTGTTGGACAAGCTCAAAACCAGGTTTAGAAATGAAAGAAGGATAAAATTTAAAGTTTAATCCTTGTTTTCTCATACAGTCTTTTAAACATTTTGCCTAGTAAAAGGTATTAATTTGTAAGGTCCACCTAACTCTAATGATACACGATAACACCTCTCAAGAAACTGTTTCTGTAAGAAATTACAGGGAGCATGTGGTTTGGACTACTGAAGTTTTATACTTGAGATAGAACAGTCCACTAGAATGAACACACTATACAGCAATACCACTCACTGAAATGCTTGGCCTGGTATCTGACACAGAGTAGGTAATAGTCAATAAGTGACATGGCCCACTAGCTTTCTCTGTTTCCTTTTTTTGGGGGGGTGGGGAGGAGTAAAATGTGGGGGAGGGATCATATCCGAATTCCTTGGAGAAGAGGAAACATGCACACTTTGATAAAACCTGCCTCTCACCCTCATAAGGCTTGATATTTTTTCCTAGGAGGGCATATGGTACCCACTACTCTCACTTGCCCACTTTACCATTACCCTTAAAAACTCTTGGCACAGAGCTGATACTCCTTAGTATAGAATACAAAGCCCTTCTTAATCTAGAGTCCTTATCCAGCTCTTCTAGCCTCAAATCTGGCCATGCAGATAAAAACAAAAACAAAAATCTGATCCCTAAACCATTCAAACTTTTTTATTTTATTTTGTTTTATTTTATTTTTTGAGACAGAATCTCACTCTGTCACCTAGGCTGGAGTGCAGTGGTGCAATCTCAGCTCACTGAAACCTCTGCCTCCCAGGTTCAAGCCATTCTCCTGCCTCATCCTCCTGAGTAGCTGGGATGACAGGCATGCGCCACCACGCCCGGCTAGTTTTTGGATTTTCAGTAGAGACGGGGTTTCGCCATGTTGGCCAGGCTGGTCTTGAACTCCTGATCTCAGGTGATCCACCTGCGTTGGTCTTCCAAACTGTTGGGATTACAGGCGTGAGCCACTGTGCCTGGCCTCAGACATATGTGAAATTAAAGCTTAATTTAAATGTGTGGAGAAGCACATTCAACATAAATCAAGAGATTCTAACAAGAAGTATGCTCCTGTACTGTGAAAAAAAACTACCTGCGTGGGTTTTATTCAAGTAGTATGCCTATAACCTTTTAAACACACTAAAATATCTAACGTACAATCTTGGAAGGGAAAAAGTAAAAAGGTTTACTTTTGAGGTGCTAATTTTAAAATAATAAAAAGTAATGTATCTCTCTGATACAAGCCAGATTTTATCTGTTACACACACAATAAAGAGGAATACATACAGAGAGAGGCATCTTAAAAAGCCATCACTTTCTCCATCTTCAAGAAAATTCCTGTGTGCTTGTGAATTTCTCATTTGCAGATCTGCTGAAATAGTAAGGTATGAGTTTATTATACCCTGCATCCCAAAACCTAGTCTCACATGACTACTTCTAGATATACACACTTTACAGATATCCAATTGTTTTTGTTTGTGTCATCTGATACATTTTATAATACGTATCAGTTTTTCTAGCACATCAAAACCAAATGAATATTCTACCGCATTATGAGTTTCCTGTTTTATTTTCAAATTCTTATTGGCATTGATGCTTTCTGCTTAATTACATGTGAGCTTGGATTTGGTTTATTTTAATCTAATTAAAGTTAAAGATGGTCTTATGTTATGTGCTATCATTATCTACCCACTCCCACCTACCAAAATAATTAGAAAGCTAATTAAATAGTATCTAAAATAAGGTATGAGTAAATTTTACAAGGTAAGCTCTGCTTTAGCTTGATGTTTTATGTTCTTATGAGTCAAAATTCACTTCTAACATGGAAATAAAAATAGAATGTGGACTCATACTTTTGGTATCTTTCATTATTTGGTCAATTTATTGGGAAATACCAGAAGAGTTGATTAGTTCATGCTCAAAACATCCTTTGAAGCAAACTAAATGTTTTTAGAATAGTGATTCTCAAAGTGTGGCCCCCAGGCCAGCAGCATCAGCAAAATCTGGAACTTGTGAGAAATAGAAATTCTCAGGTCTTCTCCCGGACCTAGTAAATTAGAAACTCTGGAGGTGGGGCCCGGCAATCTGTGTTTGAACAAGCTCTCCAAACTCTAATACACATGAAAGTTTGAGAACCACTGTTTTAGAAATTATCTGTTTATGTTCCATCAGTGGGAAAAAAAAAATACACAACCAACTCTACTACAACCAGATTTGACTGCTAATGTTTTTATCTAAGCTACTTAAAATAAAACTTACAGGACATTTTGCTTAGAGATGATTCTCTCAAATTTGTAGACTCCTGTTCCAAATGTGGTGCATACTGGATTTCTGGCTTAGACTAAAATAATAATGAAAGTAATTAAGTCATTTGTACTTCTTTAGCTTTTTTTCAGTAACAAGTTCTAAAACACATCATCTCTTTAAACATTTAAATTGAGAAAGAGTAACAGAAATACTGTATAAAAAATAAAACATGTTAACCACAATATATTTTAATTGCACTTCCTAAACATTAGAACCAGTGCCTTGCAAAGAAACAGATTTCTGGCAGATTTATGTTAGTTTAACTTCCTGACAACATTTTTTTTTTTTTTAAGGGAGAGAGCGATAAATCATTACATACTACATTAAATACTATACCTTGCAGAAATGAGTTCTAATTCTAGTTGATCAGGAATAATTTATCAGACTGCCAAAACTTTTGGCTAAACACATATTATCTCTATTTCTTCTCATATGAAACATTCCATTATTCCCTAGGTATGAGGAATCCATAAATTACAGCCAAACACTCCATACTTTACATTTTCTGAATAGTTCTGATCCTCTAGAATGGGGGTTTCTCCATCCCAGTTATGCTCAAATTCACACAGACTTTAGAGAGACACAGAGCTAATCTCCTATCTAATGAGGAATGAATGAGGGCTTCACTCTGAGAGTCAACTTATGCTTTGATGTAAGTAGCTTTAGGACATAGAACTTGTTCATGAATTTAAAGAGAAAATTCCTGCATTTTACTTATTACCAAATTAAGTAGAGGGGACCCAAAGTTCAGGGTAGTGCTAAAAATCACATACCAGCCATACATTAAGTCACTTACTTAGCTACAGTACTTAAGAGGTTTATTTTATTACCCGAGAGGAAGACACAACATAAACTCTGTTGACTGGTAAATTTGAGGAATTCAACTACTGAATTAAAAGCATGGTAGGGTAGTATATGGGCCTTGGTGCTAAAGTGTCCTGGGTTTTAAGCTTAATTCTGTTACTTATCGGCAGTGCAACTGCAACAAGTTACTCTCACCTTCCTCATCAATAAAATAGGAATAATATAACCTCATTAAGTTGTTTGAAAATCCGAGATAATATATCTAGTACAATATAACCTCCAGGGAATAACAGTTATTATCACATGGTAAATGATGAGATAGGAGACATTACCTCTCTAGGCAAAATACTTCTTCAAGAAGTTCTCTTATAAGAGTTATGAGTAAAAGCACTATAAAAAACTAAAAATTATGTCATATTGTTTTTATCTGATATCCATATGTAATGATATATGGCCACTGTTTACATTAAAAGTATATTAATTATTATCTCTCATATTTAAAGATTTCATTTTATCAATTTAACCACCATAAAATTTAAAAGACTCAGAGTTCTGGTTAGATAAAAACTAATGGGCTTTAGATAAGGCTTTTAATGGGCAAAGGGAAGGGCAATCAAACTGATGTCCAATATTTTAATGTAGGGCCAAATAAGTAATTCTTACTTGATGACAAGTATTTGTAAGTGACTGAGTAAGGTTCTATGCTGAAACACTCATTTAAAACATATACATTTACTGTTGTTGGTATTTAGATGAATCCATGAAGCACTGTTGTCACCTGGAATATGACTATTTTTCCATCATCAGCTTGAAGATAAAAAGTCCATGAAGAGGTTATGAAGCTCTGTGCAGAGTCCATCATGTCACTCCAGAATGACCTCACCAGAGTTAGAGGAAAGAGTAGGTGCATTTTTGGCATCAGGGACATAAGCTAAAAATAAAATAAATAATGAGAAATGCATTATTTTTTATATATGTACATTCAAGAGAACAACATAACCAAGATTACTCAAATCCTTAATGGGACAGGATACAAACAAATACATCTACCATAATCTAATAGCATTAAACTCTTAGTTATCTATGCAAATTATGGTAAGGCTTAAAAACCAAGGCTACTTTAATTTGCCACCAAACACACTTACTAGCTCCCTGTCACCTCTATCAGAATAACAGGCTTTTGAATTAAGTCCAAAAATAAGAAGACTCTTAAGATGTAATTAAACGAGGACCAGCAAGTCCTCAAGGGTAGAACAGGAAGGGACAAATCATATCATTCTCATCTTTAATGTTTTCATCGAGAATAAATCATGCTATAATGAACATCAATGGAAAAGGGGAAGGAAAAAATCAATCAGAAGAATATATACATAAAATGGTAGACATCTGACAACAGGGCAGGGTGAAGGGAGTATTTATGGCCTGAGTATATGTAGTAAGCTACTGATAAGATTTTAATGGTCCGGCATGGTGGCTCACGCCTGTAATCCTAGCACTTTGGGAGGCTGAGGTGGGTGGATCATGATGTCAAGAGATTGAGACCATCTGGGCAACATGGTCAAACCCGATCTCCACCAAAAATACAAAAATTAGCTAGGCGTGGTGGCACACATCTGTAGTCCCAGCTACTCAGGAGGCTGAGGCAGGAGAATCCCTCAAACCAGGGAGGCGGAGGTTGCTGTGAGCCAAGATCACGCCACTGCACTCCAGCCTGGTGACAGAGCGAGACTCTGCCTCAAAAAAAAAAAAAAAAAAAAGGATTTTGACAAATGATGTCATCTTTCCTCCTCCAATTCTGACTTCTTGACTTCTTTAGCAGCACTGGGCCCCTCTAAAGCACAAGCGTGGGATGCCATTTACTAAACTCTAGGGATAGCTTTGGTTCTACTTTGTTTCTTTATATGTTTGTTTTTTTCTTTTTTTTTTTTGAGACAGTGTCTCGCTCTGTCACCCAGTCTGGAGTGCAGTCGTATCTATGGTAGCACTTGAGCCCAGAAGCGTGAGGCCAGACTGGGTAATATAGTGAGATCCCTATCTCTAAAAAACATAAAAATAAAAAAAGCATATACCTCTTAACTCAGCAATTCTAGCCATATGATTTTATTCTACAGGTATACTCACAAATGTGCAAAATAGATATTATTTACAAAATAAAAAGATTAGAAACAACTTACATGTTCACAAATAAGGAACTGCCTAAATAAATTATAATATATCTACACAATATTATGTAGTAGAAAAAAATTAGAAGCTCTTTATGTATACTTATATTTATAAAATACTTGTGTACATCCTTGTATATGCATAACATATCTGTGTACTAGTAACCTTGGCTACATGTATGAGGGAAAACTGAGTGGCTAAGAGACAGGGGTGGGAGACTTTTCACTATATGTATACTCTTTTTATCTTTTGAGTTTGTACATGTGACTATTTCCTGTGCAAAAATTAAGAAACTTTTCCCAGTATGTCTGGAGAATAGAGTATGAAATTCCCTTGTCAGGAATTTTAAGCGATGGCATTGGAGAAGTAATCAGGAGCTAGGTTGTGATAAACAGTTTGGACTTAAATCTACATGTAATTGGGAGCTACTGATTATATAAGACAGGATAATGGCATGATGAAATTTAGAAAAAAAAATCTGGACACAGTAAAGGATGGAGTTAGAAAGGGTTAAATTAGAAAAACAGTTTGGAAGTTAACTTAAAAATACAGATAAGAAATGATGATAATCTGAGTTAAGGCAATGGCAACTGTCCAATGGAAGTTGGGATGGAGAAAAAGAACTCTGAAATAATTCCTCTGAGCCTTGGTTTTTTCATATGTAAAATGAGGATAATATCTTCACTGGAATGTGGGAAGAAACAAAATAAGATTATGAATGTAGGCATAACTTTTAATAGTAAAGCATTATACAAGTGCAATTATTCAACTGACTTTTTTATTTGCAAACAAATTTTGTTTGCTGAAAGTCAAATTTATATATTTTATATATTTATATATTATATATATAAAACACTAAAATAGGATCGAGTGGGTGATAAACACTTCAAGCAACACAAGTCAGTGCCATCTAAGCAGGCTAGTTTGAAAGGCAGTATTGTTTCGTACTTGTTCTTGTCTCAGTTCAGCGAATGGCAGCTGATTCTGGCAACCAAGATGGCAAGCATATTGCTCATCAGATTGGGAATATGCTTCTGTACATGCTGTAAGAGAAAAACAGTCAAATTACAAGAAACAAAAGGGAAAGGGAAAGAGGAAAGAAAAGGATTTGATATTTTATTAAAAAAATTCTTATACTTAAAAAAGATTTCATCAATGTCAATTTCCAAATTTGGTAATATAGTAGTAGGAAATGTATCTTTAACAGAACTCCATATTGTCTCCCTCCTACAAGTCAAATGTTTTAGATACAAATCTATTAATTATACACCCAGGCTCTGGCCACATGATGACATTCATATAAGAGGACCCTTGCAGCTAAGGCTTGTGTAGTAGAAAATGCACTGGATTGGCATCCTGAAGATACCACTCAAAAAGTTTTAGTTCCATCATTTGTTGGTGTGTGTGACCTGGGCTGAGCAGTTTAACCTCTTGACTATTGATTTCTATATATCTAAAACAGAAATAACACAACCCACTGCATAGGGTTGAATGAAATAATATATTTTAATGATTTATACAAATATACAGTATTATTGTTAAGAACCAGATCACTCAGTTAAGAAGTAAGGGTATACACGTGGCAACAGAAAAATAAAACAATCAGCCTAACATCTGAAAGTCTAAGAAAATTGAACTAGGCCGGGTGTGGTGGCTCACGCCTGTAATCCCAGCACTTTGGGAGGCTGAGACGGGCGAATCACGAGGTCAGGAGATCGAGACCATCCTGGCTAACACAGTGAAACCCCGTCTCCACTAAAAATACAAAAAAAAATTAGCCAGGCGTGGTGGTGGGCGCCTGTAGTCCCAGCTACATGGAAGGCTGAGGCAGGAGAATGGCATGAACCCGGGGGGGCGGAGCTTGAAGTGAGCTGAGATCACGCCACTGCACTCCAGCCTGGGGACAGAGCGAGAATCCGTCTCAAAAAAAAAGAAAATTGAACTAGAAAATGTTCTATAGCAGATGATTCTAATGTTGAAATAGGTCTCTACCAGATATACTGTCATTTAGTTCATTAAATCCATTTCCTTCTTGTGATATAACATTTTACCACTATACCAATTTCATTTTTTCCCAACTCGGTAATGCATTTGTAATACACTTCTCAGAAGTGCTAGATAATAAACTGGACAGCATTATGCATATATAAAGATGATCAGTTAGGAGACTGAGCTGCAAAAATACGGTTATGATATCAAAGAAGACTGTATGTGAGTCATGGCATAGTGATGGGGAAAAGGTGCCTCCTTCTATGCTAAAAACAGTGTAATGAATGGAGAACATTCCATTATATTTATTTAAAAAGTTAAACGTCAATTGTGTCCTGATTGCAGGTTTCTTTTATTAAACAGACTGCTTTTAGCAAAAAGAAAGAAAAGTGGTTTAACAGATGACAAAGCCTCTGGCTACTTATTTTAATGGCCTGACCAATGAAGAATACGCTATTAAATACTGAGTCAAAGGCCTGATTCAGTAAAAAACTTGGAGATAAATCAATGAACTTATGATTGAAAGGTTTAGGAAAATTATACTATTTGTGAAAAGGTAGTAATGAATTGTGAGTAGGGTAATTTTACTGCATTTGTCTGACAGAAAGTTGGTTAAACAAAGGTGTCCTATTCACAGCAGAAAATAAACACTGTCTCAACAAACAGATGAAATTTAAAGCCCATGAAATTTCTAGCAGCAGCTACGAAAACTCTTAAATCCATAATAATTACAGTATGTTAGATGACTAGTTTCAACAGTGTGCTTGCCATTTCCTAAGGAAAATACTTTAAAAGGTTATCACAAAGAAAACAACAGTGTTACATACAGCTGATGTTGTTAGCATAGCATCTTACCAGATTCACATTCCAATTTAGTTCGATTTAAGTCAATTCCATCATCCACAAACTGACAAATTGAAAACAGCCTGCAACCTCTCTGACATGCGTACAACTCCTCTTCCTAGGGAGTTCAAGAACAGGAAGGGTTACCAAAAAATAGTATTTTATTTTCCTCAGGGGAAAATGGGTTAGGAAGAAAGCAGTTAGTAACGTTTATTACAAATCATCCTATAAGTTTCATAACTGAAAGAAAAAAATGATAGGAGCCAGTTGATACTCAAGACCTTCGCCATACAGAGGTTTTAGTTCCTTATTTTAAAAGGGATACCAAGGAAAAAGCCTAGTAGGTAAAACCACTACCCTTTTTCCATTTTCTTTGGTTACAATCTGTGAGGGGGAAATTAAAAATAAAAACAATAGTGACATGCCAGGTGCAGTGGCTCACACCTGTAATCCCAGGGTTTTGGGAAGCTGAGGCAGGAGGACTGCTTGAGGCCAACAGTTTAAGGCCAGCCTGGACAATAAAGCGAGACCCCATCTGTACCAAAACAAACACACACACAAAAATAACTGGGTATGGTGGTGCACACTTGTAGCCCTAGTACTCAGTAGGCTGAGGTATGAGGATTGTTTGAGCCCAGGAGTTTGAGGGTACAATGAGCTATAATCACACCACTGCACTCCAGCTTGGGGTACAAAGTGAGACCCTGTTGCTTAAAAAACAACAACAAAACAACAACAAAAAATACAATGGTGATATAACTAGAACTTCAACAGCAATAGAAAGGAGTAAGCAAGTACCCTAGGACCAGTGGCATACTTCTGTCACATCCATGTTTATATGAATCACCAGGCTTATCAAGCAAAGTATCAGACTAGCTTCACATGGCAAACGGTGACACAAGGGCCTGATAAAGTAAGGCATACATCTATAAAAATGTTTATATGAAAGGATTTTTAAAAACTGGGCTTAGGCCAGGCGTGGTGGCTCACGCCTGTAATCCCAGCATTTTGGGAGGCCGGGGCGGGTGGACCACGAGGTCAAGAGATCGAGACCATCCTGGCTAACACGGTGAAAACCTGTCTCTACTAAAAATACAAAAAATTAGCTGGGCATGGTGGCGGGCGCCTGTAGTCCCAGCTACTCTGGAGGCTGAGGCAGGAGACTGGTGTGAACCTGGGAGGCGGAGCTTGCAGTGAGCCGAGATCACGCCACTGCACTGTAGTCTGGGAGACACAGCGAGACTCCATCTCAAAAAAAAAAAAAGAAAAAGAAAAAATTGGGCTTACATTAAATGAAAACACTGGAGCAACAGTGTGCTGCATGGGAAAGGACACTGCAATCAGCCAGACCTAGATCAAACCTTTTGGGTGAGTGCATAAGTTATTTTACCTAAGAAGCTCAGGTTTCTCATCAAAAAAGGAGAGAACAGCCATTATCTCCAAATTCCTCAATAATTTGGAAGCTATTTCCAGCACAGTGCCTGGGATGTAGAAGGTTCTTAATAAATGGTAATAGTGTTAATAGATTTTTAAAATAGAAAACAATTACAGGCATCAATGTATATGTGTGAAAGCTCAAGATAGGATGGACATCTAGTTCTTCATTACTGTAAAATATTAACTGCTTAATATGACTAATGTCTTCAGCAGGGTTTTCTTTGATAAAATAAAAGTTTTTTTTTTTTTTTGAGACGGAGTCTCGCTCTGTCGCCCAGGCTGGAGTGCAGTGGCCGGATCTCAGCTCACTGCAAGCTCCGCCTCCCGCGTTCACGCCATTCTCCTGCCTCAGCCTCCCGAGTAGCTGGGACTACAGGCGCCCGCCACGTCGCCCGGCTAGTTTTTTGTATTTTTTAGTAGAGACGGGGTTTCACGGGGTTAGCCAGGATGGTCTCGATCTCCTGACCTTGTGATCCGCCCGTCTCGGCCTCCCAAAGTGCTGGGATTACAGGCTTGAGCCACCGCACCCGGATAAAATAAAAGTATTTTTAAAAAGCTATTGGCCGGGCGCGGTGGCTCAAGCCTGTAATCCCAGCACTTTGGGAGGCCGAGACGGGCGGATCACAAGGTCAGGAGATCGAGACCATCCTGGCTAACCCCGTGAAACCCCGTCTCTACTAAAAAATACAAAAAACTAGCCGGGCGACGTGGCGGGCGCCTGTAGTCCCAGCTACTCGGGAGGCTGAGGCAGGAGAATGGCGTGAACCCGGGAGGCGGAGCTTGCAGTGAGCTGAGATCCGGCCACTGCACTCCAGCCTGGGTGACAGAGCGAGACTCCGTCTCAAAAAAAGAAAAAAAAAAAAAAGCTATTGCATATGGGGGAGCCCCCTCAACTTACTGTGTGATATACTGTGTACAAACTGGCAGACACCTAATAAGGAAACAGCATGTGCATATGCCAGTTAGCAACCAATGGAATACAAAGTATGTACTTCTTTCCAGCAAAAGGATTAGTAAAATTTATGCAGCAGCAACAATCCATCAAGAAGAGATGGCTGCAGTCTAATATTAAATGTACTTTATCATACAGCTTTGAAGGTAGCACACTTTTGGACCTCAGTTCCAGCTGCATTTATTGTTAAGATGAAATTGAAAGAATTTTAAAAATTAAGATAAATTTCATATCTGAGTAGCTTTTGCAGGCTTTGTAAAAACAGTTAAAGAATTATTTTATGTCTTTGGAGCACCACATATTTCCTTATACTGCACAGAGGAAGCATAAGCTCATTAGTATGAGCTATATCACATGCCATTTCATTCTTAGATATGCTTTCCTTTGTTAAAGAAACCTAGTAAGTCATCCAGTACCAATTTCAGAAAACCATATGGCATGGTGAAAAGAGACTAGGTTTCAGGAATCAGCCCTAGTTTGAAGTTCAGACTTGCCACTTATTCTGTACAACCTTTGGCAAGTTACTTAATCTATTTCCTCAGTTGTAAAATACGGACAATACTCTTACATCAATCCTCACTACTATTTATTCCTTTATTTTCTACTGCCTGTATAATTGTAGAACGTCAATCTTCACTATTAGGATAATTATATATTTATATCTACAATAGCATTACTATTATTTAATGAGCATCTACAATGTGCCAGGCACTGTGTTAAGACTTAACAAATTATGCAACATCTGGTATGGGGCAGGCACTCAACTGGTAGCTATTAAGAATCATATCTTTATTCTAAGTATTTCATGTTATATATACAAAAATAATGATTTCAAGTAAATATTTCATGCCCTATTTATCCCAAATGACTGGCAAGCTTATATAACATGTATCTCCTCTGATTTAGGACACAATAAATGGTGCTTCCACCATAGGAAATACCAGCTAAATTCATAATTAGAAGGTCCCTCAATGGTACTATTTAGGGCAGGCACCGTGGCTCATGGATGTAATCCAAACAGTTTGGGAGGCCAAGACATAAGGATCCATTCAGTCCAAGAGTTTGAGACCAGCCTGGGCAACAGAGCAAGACTCTGTTTCAATTATTTTAAATTAAAAAATAAATAAATAGAAGTTAAGTGATCAGCAAGGACAAACAGTAATCAAGGAACTGGGAATAAAACCAGGTTTGTATGGTTCTAGAGACCACACTCCATTAATAAATGACCAGGCTAGCTCTAATTAGCTTTTTTATTAACATGATTTATGTCTCTTGTTTTTTCGTCCGAGATAAATTATGCAATTGCATTTTCTGTAGATAAAAGATAGAATAATTTAAAAATAACTACTTACAAACAGGTATTCTACTTTCTTGCAACAAATAATTAGTTCTCAAAAAGTGTCATTAAAATGAGATTTTTTTTTTTTTGAGATGCAGTCTTGCTCTGTGTCCCAGGCTGAAGTGAAGCGGCGCAATCTCGCCTCACTGCAACCTCCACCACCCGGGTTCCAGCGGTTCTCCTGCCTCAGCCTCCTGAGTAGCTGGGATTACAAGCATGTGCCATGCCCAGCTAATTTTTGTATTTTTCGTAGAGACGGGGTTTCACCATGTTGGTCAGGCTGATCTTGAACTCCTGACCACCCATGATCCACCTGCCTTGGCGTTCCAAACTGCTGGGATTACAGGCATGAGCCACAGCGCCCAGCCTAAAACGAGATTTCTATCTCGTTTTTCAAACTCTATGTGAATTTGAAAATTCATCTAATTTCTTACAACACACGAAGCTTTTTCCTGGAGCACAAAGCACAGAGGAGAGCCAATAGAAATCAGTGACATAGTTAAATATGTGGTTTTTGTTTTGTTTTGTTTTGTTTTGAGGCAGAGTTTCCCTCTTGTTGCCCAGGCTGGAGTGCAATGGCGCAGGCTCACTGCAACCTCTGCCTCCCGGGTTCAGGCGCTTCTCCTGCCTCAGCCTCCTGAGCAGCTGGGATTACAAGTGCCCGCCACCATGCCCAGCTAATTTTTTTTTGGTATTTTCAGTAGAGATGGGGTTTCACCATGTTGGCCAGGCTGGTCTTGAACTCCTGACATCAGGTGATCCACCTGCCTCAGCCTCCCAAAGTGCTGGGATTACAGGAGTGAGCCACCGCGCCCAGCCTTTTTTTTTTTTTTTTTTTTTTTTTGAGACAGGGTCTCACTGTCAGACTGGAGTGCACTGGCGACATTTTGGCTCACTGTAACCTCCGCCTCCCAGGCTCAAGCAAGCCTCCCACCTCAGCTTCCCAAGTAGCTGGGACTACAGGTGCTCGTCTCCACGCCTGGCTAGTTTTTTCTTTTTCTTTTTTTTTTTTTTCTTCAGAGACGAGGTCTTGCCATGTTGTCCAGGCTGGTAGCAATCTCCTGAGCTGAGGTGATCCACCCACCTCAGCCTCCCAAAGTGCTGGGATTACAGGTGTGAGCCATCGCACCCGGCCGAATATGTTTAATGCAAGTTTATTAATAGGAGGCAGCATAGTGTAGCCAGTTTTAAGCTGAATTCCTACTCCACGATTTCTTGGGTATGTGACCTTAGGCAAGACACTTAACATTTCAGAGCCTCAATTTCCTTAATTTTAAAACCCTACTTTACAGGGTTGTTGTGAGAATTAGGAATAATAGTATGATAAATCTCCCATCACTCTGGCTAACAGTGGAGTCTATATAAATTTCAAGTCCAGGACCTATAGGGAGCCAGATGATTTGGAGTTCTTTGTGAGAAAAGCTTTAATAAATAAGTAAAAATGGTTTATAGATATCACACCAATTGTTAGAAAATAGTGGACATTATTAAAGTACCTACAAGTTCCAGGAAGGTATCCTTTCAAATTATTTGATTATTCTCCCAACATTCTGGTTTATACTACAAAATTGCCAGGAAAACCTCAAAAAAAGGAAACAAACCCTAGAACAATAGAAAGTAAGTCTCAGCCCAATTCCAGGTCAAATCAATATTAATGAGCTTCCTCATACAATCCTCTCAATGATGAGAAGTTTACAAGAAGTGAAGAAAAATAACGTGGTTAGAAGCAGTATTCATCGATTTAAGTCTGAAGTTAAAACTTCTCACTTCTTTCTCGATTGTTACATAAATCTCTGGAAAAACTGAGCACAGTCCCCTCTCCCACAGTTTTTGAAAATTGATAATCTCCATGCAGTTTAAAATCCAGCCGTAAACAAAATCTGAGAAGTGCCGGCACTTAGAACTTTTCATTTCAAAGACCTGAAAGCACTCGCCAATATGGAACATCCTAAGCTTCACTGGAACTGTCTCCGTAGCCACTCCAGTTTTAGAGAGCAAGGAGGTCTAGCCACAATGGTTAAGCAAATAGCATACAGGAGATGAAGGAAAAACGAAGAGGACACCAACAGCAACATCAACAAAAGCTCTCATAAAACAACGTGGGGGAGGGCATACACTCAAATCATACATGGGAAACGTGTGGTGGGAATCATCAAACAATTTAGAATGTTGAGTAAACAGAGATCTTACGCTGAAAAACCAACGTGAAGAGGGTTAGGTATGTACTTAAAAAGGGGGGAAGCATAGAGAGGCGGGCCATTACCTCTCCGTAAGCTGCGAACCCTCTCCTGTCTACAGCCTCGTTTCTTTACCCACTCCACGAATCCCCCGTTTTCTGCACTGAGTGGTCAGTTTCTGGTAGGCAGACACCTAACTGCCTCTTCTCTAACCCAGTCCCTCTTGGCAGCGTCTTGGACACAGTAACTCAACATAGGCAGACAGCATTCCTGGGCGTCTCGCTACTCCTTGAGCCGCCTTCGTGACGCTTTTTATACTTCAGTGGAATTGTCTACTTGTCTGACTCCCTGAAGACTACGCTCCCGACCCCGAGAGGCGCTTAGTAAACAAAGGTTATGAATCAATCATTTGTGGACTCGCTTATCTGCGCCTCCCTTTCTACAAACCCCCCTTAGGCTCCTTAAGGCGAGGACCCTGCATTAATCATCCATATCCTCCTCTATCCTCCTCCCTCTGAGTGCTCGACTCCCCTGCTGCCCGGCTAGCTCCCAGAGGAAAGGGATCGCGTCTTTCTCATCTTTGTGTCCCTCAGCCTATCACAGGGTAGTGCAGGACAAACTTCCGGTAATGACAGCAGGAATTGGGGTGCAGGCAGGATTAGGGAGGAAAACAGGAGCTACACAGATGGGAGACAGCGGTTGAAAGGCGGATTGAACAGCCAGGTTGCCAGAGCCGACATAAGTGTGGGGAGCCGAGAGATGGGCGGCCAGGGAAGGGTCGCAGCCCGCTCCGGACGGGCCCTACCTTAGGGTAGGTGTGCAAGGGGTAGGTCAACTGACAGGCCCGGTGGCAAGACGCTGTATCACCCAAGACCGAGTCAAATGCTTCAGCCGAAGCGGTCCCCGAACCTCCGGTCAAGGCCATGGTCAGCAGCAGCAGCGGCGGCAGCCCCAGTTGGGTCCTGACCCAGAGGCTCGCCTTCGGCGCCGCCATCTTGTTCCCCTCTGTCACAGCAGCTCAGCTTGTTGCTGTTTTCTTTGAAGGGTTTCCTCCTCCTCCTGGGGCCAGCCCCCTTCTCCGCCCCACCGACCGTTGCTTCCGCCTCCGCCGTCGCTTCAGCTCCGCCCTGACCCGCCTGAAACTGCCGCCTCCTGCCCCACCTCTGGGACTACGAACTTCTCCTAGGCGGGCGTGAGGCGGGGAATTCAACCATCGCGAGCATTAGCGCGAAGCGGGCCCCCTGTCTTCCCTTCGCGGGGCAGGCTGGGGCATGTAGTTCTCCGTAGACGGGAGGCGCACGGTGCTGTCGGGAAAATTGGTCTCGGAAAACTACAGCAGCCCTCGGCGCGCCTTCTGCCCGCATTTCTTCGTAGTGCATTCTGGGGAATGTGGTTCGCTGTGGCCCAGAGGCGCGAGGGCCGGCGGAGTTTCTTCAGAGGAGCTACAGCCCTGGAGGAAGCTTCTATTTAGTTTCAACACAGACGACTGGGCTTGGGAGCCTACGGGGTTGCAGTCTGGAGGGCGCCAACAGCAGCTGCCAGGGCTGCTTTTCCTGGTGGGTCTCACGTCAGACCGTTGTTAGGTGCCCCTACCCGAGCTCCTGAGTGCTGAGAACGAGGAGGATGGGGTTTCTCCTTGTTCGGGGATCCAGAGATTACAGCCGTGGGTAGGGTCCTCTGACCACCAAGCAGTTTGTTCCAGGGGATGGCTGCGTATTGTGAGACTCCCTGCTGTGTTCTGGAGGTGGTTGTCAGTTGCTGATTACCAGGGCAACCCTTGGGATTGTGGCTGTGGTGAGGTGATTGTTAAGAGGGCGGCATTGAGCCTAGTGTAATCCTAACCCTTCCACAGCCCAATCTTAATTGGAAGAGGGCTTAGGTGCACGCTCTAGGTGGGATTCCAATATTGGGCCAGTCCCCCCCATATTGGAATCCCCCCTAGAGCGTGCACTTCTGGAATCTAGGAACCTCCTAACCCAGGACGTAGGCTGATGATTGTTTACAGTTTCAATTCTTAGGAAGTTCCTCAGGAGGAAATCTTCTTGTCAATTCCACTCGAGTCCCCATAATTCATGAATTCTTCCAGAGAACTCAATTGTGTTACTTTGGGGAGCAAATATCACGGCAGTCTTTAGTGAGGTTTTAGAATCTACCGTCTTTCTTGACCAGAACACGCTGCAAGCACGTCAAGGTAGTCGGAGGCCCCTAACAATGGATAAATTCGTCATTCGAACGCCTAGAATCCAGAATAGCCCTCAGAAGAAAGATTCTGGAGGAAAGGTTTACAAGCAGGCCACGATTGAATCTCTGAAGGTGAGAGGGGATCTGGGGCTAGAGGAAATGTGCAAAGGACTGATAGCAAGGTGGTGCCAGAGGTTCTGTTGTGAAAAGACCTATGAATTATTTCTTGTTATGCCTCCTCCCGCAAAGTGTACCTGACCACTCCTCCTTTGTTTCCCCCATAGCTGTACAGACTTACATTTATCGATTTCCGCACACCTCTGCTACACCCTTGTAATTACTCTGGTTTACAGCATGTATGGTAGCTGGTAGGACAAGTCCCATTTGTTGTTATTCTTTTGCAAAATGTAGTCTGTTAGGAATGTTAAAGTACCAGATATGATTCTATATACCTACCCTGTACAAACTCATTTAGGGGTGGGTTTTGATGCTGTTCTCTCACATCTTACTGCCCAGAACTGTATCAAATGGCTTTACAGCTTCAGCTGAGACCAGGAAAGAGGCTGTTTTTTGTTGTCGTTGTTGTTGTTTTTGTTTTTCAGAAAGGGTCTCACTCTGTCACCCAGACTGGAGTACAGTGGCACGATCTTGGCTCACTGCAGCCTCCACCTCCCGGGTTCAAATGATCTTCCTGCGTCAGCCTCCCAAGTAGCTGGGATTACAGATACCCGGCTAATTTTTGTTTTTGGTAGAGATGGGGTTTCACCATGTTGGCCAGGCTGGTCTCGAACTCCTGACCTCAAATGATCCACCTGCCTCTGTTTCCCCAAGTGCTGAGATTACAGGCGTGAGCCACTGCCCCCAGCTGGAAAGAGGCTGTTTTAATGAACTCTTTGCTGCCTTGAACTCAGTCTGATGTCTGCAAGCAAGATGCAAAGAGTAGATACAATGAATCAATCAACATAGTCACCCAATAAGTGCTAAAGTAATTATTATTTTACTAAAATGAAACAAAACATCTTGTACTTGGTCCCCTTTGTCATCCTAAACCTTGCCTCTTAAATTTCTGACTTTTTCATTTTCTTTTATCAGTTCTTCTTCCTCTACTAGGTTCCTAGTGTTTGTGCTCCTCAGAGTTCTGTCACATTTTATGTATTTGGCCAGGATGACATCCATTCTTTAGGCTTTCTATGCTAAAACTGCCAGAACTGCACCTCCAGCCTAGGTTTCAGAAGGTAGGAGGATCTGGGGCTAGAGAAAATGTGCAAAGGACTGTAAGAGCGAGGCAGCATTCTGAGTACTTGACACATACTCAGTTGGACTCCTTTTCTGGATGTCCCACAGACTTACCAGACCCATATTGGAAAGCAGTGAAGGAGAGTATAAATAGGCCCTACTGGTAACTAGGTGATCTTTAGTAGCAAGTCAGTCCCTTCTCTAAGACCTCAGTTTCCTCATCTATAAAATGTGGAGATTGAACTATATCAGTGTTTCTTCAAGGGGGTGCTATTGTTGCATGGGGCAAGATAATTCGTCATTATTTGGAGCTGCTGGTGAGTTACAGGATACTTAGCATCCCTGGCTCTCAGGCACCTAATGCCAATGGCACCTCCCATTCTGATAACTGAAAATGCCGTCACATATTTCCAGACAGCACTTGATTGAGCCCTACTGAACTCTAGATGATCTTTAAAGTCTGTCCTAGTCTTGCAGTTCTGTGACTGCTTAGAACACATTCAAGGTTTTCAACTGTCTCTACCTTGTCAGAATATTCATGGATAATTGTACATAGCAATGATTCTCAATGAGGGATCATGTCAGACTCTCTCCAGGAAAAAGGTGGGAAGGAATAGTTGAACTACACATACACTCACCTACACCTACAAACACCCATATTATTATTATTATTATTTTTTGAGATGGATTTTCGCACTGTCGCCTGGGGTTAAGGGCAATGGTGGGTTCTTGGCTCACTGCAACCTCTGCTTCCCCTGTTCATGCGAGTCTCCTGCCTTAACCTCCCTAGTAGTGGGGAATTAGAGGTGCCCACCACCACACCCAGCTAATTTTTTGTATTTTTAGTAGAGACAGGGTTTCACCATGTTGGCCAGGCTGGTCTTGAACTCCTGACCTCGTGATTCACCCGCCTCGGCCTCCCAAAGTGCTGGGATTATAGGCGTGAGCCACAGCATGCGGCCCAAACACCTATATTCTAATATACCTCCTCCTACCCCTCTCCCTTCTGGGTTCCTTCTCGTGCCCCAGTTGAAAATCACTATGTGTGATGATGAAAATAAATGATGTGAAAATTATGGAATAAAAATAAAACAACAGGCTGGGCTCAGTGGCTCATGCCTGTAATCCTAGCACATTGGGAGGCCGAGGTGGGTCGATCACCTGAGCCCAGGAGTTCGAGACCAGCCTGGGCAACTTGGCAAAATCCCATCTGTAACAAAAAATACAAAAATTAGCTGGGTATGGTGGGACGCGCCGGTAGTCCCAGCTACTCGGGAGGCTGAGATGGGAGGATTGCTTGAGCCTGGGAGGCAGAGGTTGCAGTGAGCCAGGGTGGCACCATTGCACTGCAACTGGGTGACAAAGTGAGATACCATTTCAAAAAAAAAAAGAATAAAACAGCAGGCATATGTAATAACATTCCCCCTTAAATGCATTAGCTTTTCTTCCAAACCTGTTCCTTGTTCTCCTGTATGAATGTATATCCATATACCAAGTAACTGGGACTAGAAATCCAGGAACCATCCTTAACTCTTTTTTCTCTTATATTGAATTTTCTTTTTTCTTTTCTTTTCTTCTTTTTTTTTTTTTTTTTTTTTT